AAGCACTCTTATCAGAATTCAGTTGAAAAATAGGGATCTACAGAGAAGACATTAATAACTATTCATAAGTATCCATATTCCACTGCCTAGAATCAATGTCTTGAAATATCGATTTTATTTTTAAAATTTATTTTCTAGAAAAGTCATCCTGTTGTGATCATTATAAAGAATTAAAACAGGGGTCAGCAGGGGACACAGTAGTTGGGGCACTGGACTCCCATGTGGCTCACCCAGCAGCTTGAAACTCAAGCTGGGCACATGTGCGTACGTACCCAAAATCCTGAAAGGAGAATGGAAGACAAGGAACTATGGCGTGACCATCCCCTCAGGGGCGATTTCTCACTTTATGTCTGTCTAGTGAGCACACGTGCCCTATAGCAAAAATCTCTCTCTGAAACAAACAAACAAAAAAAATAAAATAAAGAAAGAAAAGAATGAAAACAAAACAGAAATATTAAGGTGAAATTTAGAAATATCTACTCTGATTAACACAACAGTAGACAAGAATACCAGACATCTTTTTAGATGGATATATAGATAGATCTGTGAAGAAATAGGTACATAGATTCAATTACTTTTTATTTTCATTATGTTTTTTACATTCAATCACTTTCATTACAGCATACAAAGTGAATTTCCCCAGCATGAATACACTGTATATTAGTTCAGTCAAAGATATTAACATACATGTTAACATCACTAGGCAACTTTCCATTTTCGTGTCCCTTAAATGTTTCGCTATTTCCTTTTTCCCCTTGATTCCCTCCCGGTTGAATTACTTTTTATAGAATGGAGTTAGGCCAGCAGCAGGGGCACAGCAGCAAGACAGCATCTGCCATGCAGAAGTCATGTGTTCACGGCCCAAGGCCTCCCTGTACATGGTAGGCACATGTGTGTGTGCCCATGATCTTGGCTGGCTGAGGCAGAGGGTGGATCACGGCTAAACACCTTATGGAGGGTGCTTCTCTCTTTCTGAAGAAAATAAATAAAATTTGAAGAATGGATTCAGGGCCGGCTCTGTGGCCTGGTGGTAAGGGCAGCTGGATCCCACATGGCCAACCTTGTGGTTTGGGTCCCGTTCTGGTAGCTTGCGAAACACTCTGAGTGTGTGTGGATGCATGCCCAAAATCTGGAAAGGAGGGAGAAATGGAGGAGAATGGATCGAGGCATGACTGTTTCCCATCCGGGTGCTTTCTTGTCTTTCTCTGGCAAGCACAGGTGCCCTCTAGCAGAAAAATAAAAAACGATTCATATTATTACTACTATTCGTTTGTTCTTCTACTTTCAAACTGTTTTCTCTAATCCAAAAGGGAATTGGAAAAGGAAGGCTTTGATTTAATTATTTAATTCTTTAGAGGATTGTCTAGATCCCCCACTGCCATTTAGTACAGAAAGTTTCAAGCATATCGAAAACTGGAAGGCAAAGTGTTGATGCAGTGACAGTACTGAGGCGCAGTCATTGTTATGAAAGGTGTTACATTTGCTCCTTCCACACCCCACCTACTGAAAGGAAGTTGCAGACACAATACTGCACCCCAGAATCCTTCACCACGTTTCTCCTGATCTAAGGACATTCTTTTTTTTTTTTTGAGAGTTTTTTTTGCTATAGGGCGCGTGCACTCGCCAGACAGACAGAGAGAGACATAGAGACAGAAAGCGAGAAATCACCCCCCAGGGGGGATGGTCATGCTGCAATCCCTTCTCCTCCATTCTCCTCTCAGGATCT